TATAGACAGACTTGGGGCTTATAGCCAACAAGCTGCTTTGGGACAGAGCATGGACGGCCCCCCAGGGAACATGACATGCAGTAAGAATCATTTCATGTATGAGGAAAATAATTCTCTGAATACCAGATAACTCACCCTGGGACATTACAAGCTGGGAGAATAAATAATCAGAAAACATGGACTCAATTGATTCCAAGTGTTATTAGACAGTTGCAATGAACATGTCCCTGTGTTTTTTTTTTTTCCTTTTTATGATAAATTTGACTTTCCCTTGAAGTTTGGCTGCCGCACTGAATTATTTAAAAGACATTAAAATGAACATGATGGTTCAATACATATTTATTGAATCTTTAGAAAAATCCGCCCATGGCAATGGAGTGATGTGTTTTTCCATAAGAGCGTAACTGCAGCTGCTCAGACTTCACCTCTCATAGCAATTGAAAGGTTAGATGGGGTCAGTCCCCAGTAACCGCTAAATTATCTAAGGGCACTATTTGCCTTATTAGTACAACTGAATCTGTAGTCCATATTATTGCCTAATTAAGAAGGAAAATTCATTTGTTGCCGGTGTTTTAACTATGGATTTCCTTCATCACCGTTGTTGTCGTGATTGCTAGGAAATTCACCCCAGGATTTTTTATATTTACGGCACGAGACCGAGTATTTCTGTCAATTTTTTTTTTCCCTTCTTCTAACCCTACATTGTTCCATGGTCCAGCTTGGGTCACTTAAGCAAGGCTACCATGTGAAGACAGTAGTTGTGGGAGATGCTAAATGTTGATGTAGGGAGGGATTTGGCTTGCCCATCTATTGCTACTAGACCCCAAGGTGACGTTCCGATGCTAAAGTGTCTGTACTGGTCCCTAGGTCGCCACACTTAGCTTGACTGAGCTTCAGACAAGCTGTTTCTCCTCTCTAACAAGACGGAACATTTTTTTTTTGTCACAAATTCATAAATAAGTATTTTTCAGAAAAATTAAAATAACATTCTTTTACATCAGTTCACTATGTCAATAGATAACAACATAAAATATCTCTGCTACACATGTAAATGCCTAATTAAAATCCAAGCCCAATTAACGAAGTTATTTCTGTTGTGTGAAATGCTTTTCTGGGACTTTTCTTAGTAACTGTCAAAGACCAGCATCGCCTATGTAGGAGGGGTGGGTGCATTCAAAGGAAGTCTCGTTTCAAGTGTAGCAAAGTGAGAATGTTCTGATGTGGAAACATTTAATTCAAGAGCCGACTTGAAAGCTCAGCTCCTTACACAGCCAGGACCAAACAGGAGTAGGCTATACTATTCATAATCGGTAACACTTCAATGGACGCTTTGCTTGCAGATCTTAGGGCCATAGCTTAAAGCGAAGGGACATCAGCCAGCAGGGAACTTGATGAGTCGATCAGAGATTTATCGGAATATTAAAACGTTTTTGTGGGCATGCATCGCAGCGTCGCAGATGTATGTAAATACGCGCATATGAAAATGTAGTTGCTTGATATCTGTATTTTTCAAATGTCCAGTGCGCCTCCCACCTTCGCTAAAAAACGTAATTCTGTAGCCTACCTTCCTAGATTTTCCGATGAATTAGTAACACACATTTCTGCAAATAACTGCAACGGAACAGAGGATAGGTATACACATTTATTGTTATTGATGCATTCTAAATATTTAATTCTTTATTTAAAAGACGATTTATTTAATGACATATTTCATATCAAATTAAAATAAACTTTTAAAGTGACTACGATCTTGAAAATACAGGAGACCGTGTTTTATCCAGAAACGGTAATTTACTCTATAGCATCTTTCTGATATAATTTGATCGTCTTGTATACGTTACGAACGTCTTCTGCATGCCTCTTTTTAACGGAATTTTCTGTGCTTTGTGTTGGTTCAAAGCCGACGCTTTGCTTCCTGATCTAAAGTCGATATTGTAATGCCAATTTTAGATACAACGCGCTGCAATACAACTATAGACTCTCAAATTCCCAAAGTTATTAAATTTAAAAAATGGTTATTTTTAACTGATAAACTGAATAACAGGGAACTACAACTGGAAAATAACTATGTAGACGGCATATGTGGAATATAAATGGTAGTTTACCAAGAGAACTTCGTTGTAAGCTGCAACGTAATACTTAATCATTTTATGTACAGTTTTTAAACAGTAGCCTATTAGAAATATGACATTATTTCGATCACTGTTTATAAAGTAGCTAATGTTTTCTTGTAAACAGTATAATGCCCAATGCTTAATTTAATGAAAATTAAGGTTCTCAATAACAATCTTCTAATAGTCTTTTATTTATTACATTATTTAAATAAAACTTGACTCAAAAAGTTTTTTTCAAAAGTGAGCCCTCAGTCCTGTGTTTTCCAATGCGATTTAAGTCAGGCGCTACTAGCACTTGATAAAACCATAGTTTTACACTAAAAACCACGTATCTCTTGATGGAGGTTTTTCCTTTGATTTCTAATCCTTCAGATTATAGGCCATATAACCGGTGGAGGGGCAGCTCAGTGTGGACTAATTTTGCGTTCTCTCTTCAGGTTTCGTCTCCTCTTCATCTCGTTGTCGTGTTATAGCTTAAGTCACTAATCTTTTTTTCCTAACGGTGTCAGTTGATGCTCATTTTTAAGCCAGAACATTTTTCTCTTGCTGTGCTTTAGGTTTACTCATGTCTTTGCTATCAAAAATGATTCGCAATTAGGTTTCTGAAAGTATCAGGCTTGTGCAAAGACAAGAAATAAAGGTCGGTAGTTGTTCTTAGTGATTTTTTTTTTTTGATAATGGGCTAAATTACCGACATCACGGTATGAAAAAAATAGCCCATCAATGGAAATAATTATACATTTTAAAATTTTGACACTTGCCCGTTATGATGCCACATATTTGACCTTGCAATCACCCCCTCAAGACGGTCATTTGTTGAGTTTTACGTTGAAAGTTTACAATCAATGGACGAAAATATGCCGTCAGTCATTTTATTAATATGCGGTGCGGCTGTGATTTTTCTTACGGTATTCAGACGGCAATAAGGACAAATGACGCTTTTTCCTCAAAGATTGAATATTGCATTGTAGCTATGAACTTTCTTATTGGTTAAGAACTGTGACTGTAGCCCTAGCTGTAGTTTAAAAGTGGGTTTTCAATGTCTCTGACAAATATGTAGCTAAATAGTCATTCGTCACGAGATTATCATATTATAATATTAAGCAACTACCACCATCGATATTGTTCGATCAAGATAAATGGAATTAGTTATTTTAGTAATGCTTTGCGGTTATCGTTATACGTTTTGTTCCTTTTTTTAAAAAAAAAATGTACTAATGTCTTTATTATTGCTCTTATGACGTAGATTTCCGTTAGGTGCACATCATTATTTAACTTTTAGTAAAATAACCCAATAAGTTGGAGAATACCAGTAACAAACCTAGCATATGTATTCTATTAAGGCATATATTTCATCTGTTACACTTGAGTGATTTAATGCTGTTAGCGCCCCGAGTATTACCGTTCGTCTAAAATAATGCAACGGATTACGAAACCTACGTGAAAAGCCAAGTAGAAAAGGTACAACTTTAAGGTACGGCTGTTTAAACATCTAACTTCAGACGTTTGATTGAATGATGCTGCCGTTTTCTGTCGTTTAGTGCTGATACTGCTGTCCAGACAGTACTATTTATTTGATACCATAAGTGCATGTAAAAGCAATAATGAAAATTAAGTTTTTTGTTATAAAGCAGTGATAACTTTCGGCAGTTTGAATCCTCAACTTCATTTAGAGCCCATCAACATTTATTTATTATAACGTTTATTAAAATTTCTTACGTAGGATTGACGATTTTGGTTTTAAAAATCGACTGAATCATGTGGTTTAAATATCTGAACACGTTCGATTTACTTATTTAACGTTAGAGAACAAAAGCACATTGTTTTGAAGGTAGAAAGTCAGGAAACGCTAGGCTATCGCTCGTGGTCTATTGCTGATACTTTGTCTATTCATTAATTTCGTTACAAAGTATCCGCGAGGAGGAAACAAATCAAAATTAAGTTAACAATTTTATTTGAAAACATTAAATATGTTTTTCTCAAGGAGAGATATTTCGGAATCGGCACGGAATGCATTGCAATACTGAAATACACCATAGAAAAAGGCAGTGGATCGCGTTGCGGCGCACACATCTATTTGAAATATACATTTAAGACGTAATTTCAAAAAATAAACCAAACAAATTAAATGTGTAATTATTATATTATAACTACTCAGTATTTTATAACATAAAACAGACATAGTGTTCGAAACCTCTGAATGGATTGTGATATCCTAAGATGATTAAACTGCGGCATGCAAAATGTAGTTTTTTGACAACAAAAAATAATAATAAATATAGAAACTTTTATATTCAACAACAACGGTACATACAACACTTACAAACAAGGAATATTGGACAGTTTTACAAACACCATGGGTCCCTTTTACCTATACAGATGAGATACGTCGTTGTCCACACATGTTTCATACATAAAAGTTGTCCCAGAACTACGAATCTTTATAAAATCTATCAGACTACATAGTGTCCAGATTATAATGTATAATATAGACATGACCTCGATAGCAAGGGCCTATAGAAATCCTACAACATGCGTTCCTTTGTTGAAATACTCTCACCCTCCTGTAATTCTGACAGAAACACATAGGCAGAAAATATAAAAAGCGTAACGGAATCGAGCTTCATATACCTCTTATAAACTGACGCATTTGGACGCATCACAATAATTTATTATATATGTATATATAAATTGAATATATTACATTATAGGGCGTGTTCTCCATACAACAGATACTTTCATTGACAGCAAAGAATACAGTTAGTGGGGAGATGGTTAACTTGGTGAAGAAAAGTCCCAGATGAATATAGCCTTGGCGAACAGTTTCTCCCGAAAAGAGGTCGTTTATTTTCTCGTAATAATGCAAGGGAAACTAAAACGAAAACATCAGTTCATTTCCTTTATATTCTTCGTGTTACTTTGCTTTGATAGTTTCTGAGGATCCTTGGCCATTTATTTGGACATTTTAAAAGAACCGCGCCTGAAAATGGAAAAAAATTGCGCTGATCTAAAAATGTCCTTGTCGCGCACAAAGTCTCTGGAAGTTGACGTCGACAGAAAGGCCCGGTGTTTTAAAAAGGTAGCGTGTCTAGAAACAATTTGTCAATTATTGCTGGCGGAGGAACCAAGTCTTCAAGTTTTAAGTAGAAGATGCGTTGCAGACCTTGTGTACAAAGTGTGCGAAGTTCCGGTAGTTTTCCCAAAAGTTTTGATAAGTAGTTGGGACGATTTAAACCGCCGCCATTAAATGTCACTTGGTCTTTAAGACAATTTACAATCTTGTTTTGAAGTTCCTCCACTCTCTTGGGTTCTTTTAGTCCGTGTCGCTCTGCAATAAGAACATTTACAAAGGTTATTATCAAAGTATATTGCGGATTAAATTAAGTCACTGTCATGTGAAGTGCAACCGGAAAATAAATAACTGAACATAAAAGCGAACATTTCACGGGTCTAGTTTCACGCACCTGTCACCATGGCAAGCGCAGCTATGCAGGAGAAGGCTGATATATCGATATTCATGCTCTGGAGGTTGGAAGAAAACTCCACAATAGAGTCAATCCATTCTCCGAATCCGCGAACACATTGTAGTCTGTGCAAGACCACCCCGTTGCAAAAAATCAGTTTCCCCTCCATCGGATTAGACCTGCAGTTAAATATGGGGGGGGGGGGAGAATTAACAGTCAGCTAATACTTAAATGATAAAACGCAGGACAGCCGAATGTGTAAGAGCTCAGGAGATCTTAATTGCAATGAGTTACCTGTAAGCCAGTCGCAAGACAAAAAGTTCCAGGAAGGCTGATTCAAAGAGGAGATCTTGATCCTGTTTGGGGAGATCAGCGAACCCCGGGATCTTCTCCGCCCAGCCTCTGATGATCTCCATGGAGCCGGTCAGGAGATCATAGAATTGCTGGATGTGCTGCGTGTCGTCTCCGGTCATTTGGTAGTCAGGGTTAGCCTGAAACTGGAATTTAATTTAGAAAGTGCTTAATGAGGTCGTTTAAAATATATAACCCGTGAAATTGCAAAGCCCATTCCAAGCAGGACAGTTGAGTTTTCATAACAATTAAACCTCTCTCTGGCCATTATTGGGTTCTATGTTTCAAAGCAATTCACTCAAGTAAGGTATGTTAAATTAAATACGCAACGATACAGACATTTAGAGCAAAGGAGAACGTAGTTTTAAACGACGCACGACAATCCGTTTTGCGATGAGGTAACTGAGCATCGGTACCTCCCTAAGTATTGGTTAGGCACGGTAATACGTTGTTCCAATGAGATTAGATATTAATGTGTTTTTCATGGTTCTCGTATACTTTATTAAGTCCAGAGACTTTCGCTGAGTCTTAAATGATCAGAGTCATTTAGATTAGCGCCATACCCACTCGTTCATCTCCTCATTATAGCGCTTGCCTGACTGGAAATTAAAAGCGTGTTAATAATCTGACTTACTCTTGAGTAGTCCAAGCTGGACATGGACGGGTTTGAGTCCACATGAGCCCGTACTAGGGCACTTATGAGACTCACTGGGGGCGAGGGTGGTGACGGGTCCTGAGGACTTTTGGGTTTGGACGGTAGACGGCCCCTGCGACCCTTCAGACTAGCAGTCCGAACCACTAAAAAAAAAAACAGAATTTCAAAGCTGAATATTATTGTTTTGTGTCGGACTCAAGATTTAATGAAGCAGCGATGTTTACTATACAGCCGTTTTACGAACCCAATACTAAATGCTTCGCTTTCCACGTCAAATAGGGTCAGAAACGCCAGTCACAGTTCATTTTAAATATCACCGGTTATTAAAATATGAACATAAAAAATGACAGAAAAAGTAAAGCGTCTTACCTTCTTTGACCATGCCGACAACAAGGCACTTCTGAAAACGACAGTATTGGCATCTGTTTCTGCGACGCTTATCTACCGGGCAATTTTTGTTGGCTAAACACACATATTTCGCATTTTTCTGAACAGTGCGCTGAAAAGGAAAAAAAAGAAAAGAAATTAAATTTTGTTCGGCACACGATGACGAGTGTGTCACACATTTGGTCCCGGATAAAAGTGACATTCGACTGACATTTTTTGGCGAAATTAATGGAAGTCGAACTGACACAGTTGGAAACTGCAGGCGCGACCCCATCGCTTTATAGCTACGTTTTATATGCAAGGAGCAGGAGGAGACTTTCGGTAAACACAAATCCGTGGGCATTCATATTTTTACGTCCCTCCGAGACCCTCTCCATTGAAAGTGATAAGATTATTCAATCAGGATGGTGAAATAAGGAGACCACTTAATTTTACCACTGGGAATTCTGTTCCACTTGGTTACCCCAGACACGGTTCTCTGTCCAAACCAATTTAATTCTGGGGGAAAGGGCTGACTTAAAATGCACCAGAGCATACACTCACACAGTGATTTCTAATTTTCGAGTAAGATTGAAAAAAAAAAATTAAAATAATATATATATCCACATACGCACATATACTTACACACATATATATAAGTTCAGTTCAATTTTAATAATTCAATGTAAGAGAGTCAGAAAAATGTTTATGTGATCGTTATACTAACTAAAGTCTACTTTGTTTTATTGCTTCAAAAACACAATAAGCACTGACAACGTTAACGAGACAATGTCATGTGGATAGGCCTAATAGAGAAAGTTAGGTCCGGTCGCACGTCCCCATAAAAACGGTGATGTCATTATGCTTATACATCCATCTAAGTTCAAACTGGTAAAAACTTGTGTTATACTTGTTTAATATTAGTTGGGAAAACGCGTTAGAAATTACAGGCAGTTTCCAGGCCTACCTTAAAGAATCCTTTGCAGCCTTCGCAAGTGCGCACTCCGTAATGCTGACAGGCGGCGTTGTCCCCGCAAACGGCGCACAGACCTTCGTTAGACGGAGATCCCCTCGACGGCGGCGACGGGATTTGGCTGTCCATCAGCTGGTGCGCGTGGCCAAGCTGAAGCGAATGGGGGAAGCCTATGGCTGCCTGTTTCCTGATAGCACTGGGAACGGCGAAGCTCTGGCTCTCTAACGCACGGTGAGCTCCAGGGGTATCGGGGTTCATGGGCACGTGAAGGGGACCGTCGAATCTCATTTGGCAGCTGGACACGGGAGTACCGGGTGGGGACTGTTTGAACGAAAACAAGGATAGCCTCGAGACCGGGTTCTTGCGCTGATCTATCATGTGAGTGGTCGCCACGTAGTTCTGGTGAAAACTGTGGAGCGATCCGGGCTCATCCCACATATGATTAGGCTGCACCGGGAAGTTTGGTGTGCTCGGTGTGTGAGGAGAGGAGGGCTTGTAATACATAGACCCGGAATGGGGCATCATCTCTTCAGATTGAGGTGGAATATGGCTCTGTTGATGGTAGCCGTGCATCTGGATGTCCTCCACCTTGATGGAGGACTGCTCTCCAGAATGGGGCATTTGGTATATACAGGGCGGCTTGACGTCGTAACTGGTGTTGTAGTTGTCCATGAATGTGCTGAAGCTGGGGAGAGAAGTGGTGGCCGTGATCTCGGTGTTGGTCAGGTCCATGCTAAACTTAACGAACTCGGGTGTTAGGAAATCGCAGCTGTACTCTCCAGCGGCGTGGTAGCTGTAACTCTGGGATGCGGGACTGGCTCCTTGAGGCGATGTCCCATACTGAGCCTGAACGCAGGGCATGGCTGTAAACAAAAGTGTCAAAATGCTCACATACTCATATTAAATAAAGCAATATGCCTGCTAACTACAAAGTTAGAAAGTATCACAGAGCATTACGGTAGCTGTTTCTGATCAGAACACACATCAATTACCATACTCATACAATCGGATATATTCACAAATAAATGTGATGTAAATTTGTGTGTTTTCTAATAAATAAATCTTCGTCACGTAATGGTTTGGGTCACTGCGAAACAAATGCATTTTTTACTCAGTGCCGCTTGTTTGGACAGTGCCAAAGTTTTCTGGGCGATGGTTTGATGTACCAATCACCAAGTTTCGTTTGGTCACGCTCACAGAAGACATAAGCTACGAGATTAGTTTGCCATACCTTCAGTCGAGTGACTGTTTTTCTACGACACTTAAAATGAACAATACTATTTGTTGTTCTGATGAGCAATTTTCAAGAAAGCAGCTTTCTTCTGGAATCCTCCCCTAGAAAATAAAGACCAAATACACTCATTAAATTCTGTGTCTCGATTTTTAAATATTATAATTATTTTTATTTAGAACTGCATATTTAATAAAACACACTGAGAATTTACTACACTCAGTAGTGTTATTCGGTTTTATGACATCTAGTAGATAGTTGTACCGGCCTCTTTTAGGTAGTGATGAACATGCCATCATGTTTGATGTTATTATTTTTTTCCGTGAAATCATTACAGTAAACACAAATAGAACACATGATGTACTTAACAGGTCTGATCAAATGAAACATTGAAAATTCTGAGATGTATAAAAGACACGAAAATATACAGATAGCAAGCAGACAGTGTACAAAAATCTCTAGGAGTACACCTGGTTCGAGTATTTCGTGAGTTTTCGCTCGGTCCAAATTCTTAAACAAAGACGTATTTTTAAAAAAATCCCAGTTTTGGTAGTGATAAGCATATTTAAAGTCCCTAAATATATAATCACTTTCCCATGAAAATGTGAGTAACATTCGCAGACAATCCCAATTTAATCCCAACTAGTAATTTCCATCAGTATTTGAGATAAGTTTGCCAAATTTTCTTATATTCCGTATACGGACAACAACGGCGATTCTTACAATGTTATGCAAGATGTTTACAATTCTACAGCAAATCAGTGATACCCAATGAAACAAAATAAAAAATTATGTATCAAAGCCTTAGATGAACTTTGTGAGTTATAGTCATACATTAACAAATTGGCCATTTAGACAAAAAGAATTATAAATAAATTTATGCCGTACCTTACACCGTCATCAAGGATGATGCTGCTTATCCATGCAGATGGAGCGCATGCAGTTTTCTGTAATTTAGATGAAGAATAAAGCCAAAAACCACAGGCGACGTTTCAGTTGTAAAGGAGTGCGGCTTTCATTCAGTACTGCAGGGATAACAGCACAGACTGACCCTTCTCCTCAATGTGCCTTTGTTTATGTGAGCTTCGAATACCAAAGCCCACGTGTCTAAAATCTTCACGTCATGCCCAGCGTCACTGAGAAGCACCAATCCCTTCCTCGCGGGGGCCGTTCTTCTCTGCGCTATTGGCGCACGGCTGGAGCTGAGCAATGCTTTCAGGTAGCCAGCTGTCGCGGACGGGAAACCTTCATACTTAAAATCACAGCAACAGGAATACTGGTTAACAGAACATTCACATTCTCTACCGACGTAGACTTTATAAAGCGCGACTGAAGACTGACTCATTTTCTAGTTACGCTGATGCACTTGTTATGTGTGTGGTCTCCTACGTTTACCCGGCGATTCGCCTATTTAGGGACAGGAGTTGTGGAAAGTAATTTATGCATCCAGTTCTGAGCTCTGTGAAATCAATTGAGATGTATTTCAAACTAGGGATGGTCCATAATTTAGAAGGAAGTAGCTAACAGTATGTTGTGTTGAATATTAAAATTATTTCTGGGCAAATTTCCAAATAAACTCAAATCTTCTGGACGTGTTTTATTCTTCCAGTGCATTAATGGTCAGCATCTAGATTCACCTATGAAGCTGATAACTTAAGTGAACGTAGGCTGCACGCATTAATGGTGCTGAATACGAAATTGTAGTGAAAACACCACGGAACTTGTGTCTTTGCGTGTAGTATGCTCCAACATGGCACCGATTTATCAGTTACCAAAATCAGGTGTCGGAAGCAAGTGGGTGTGTTCTTTGCGTGAGAATGGCAATTTTTCCAGGCGTCTGTGCAGTTAAGTGCAAATCCCGAGCGCCCATTAACTGCGGAGCAGCGTCGATTGTCGTGGGCGAGGAAGAAAGAATGAGCGATAGATGGATTGCGCGTGACGCAAGGCACACGGGCTTTGACGCAACCAAAAGAACCTGCCAAAAATAACTATTAGAGTCCTTTCTTTTGTTTTACAAAGCTTTCTTTTATTTTTACCCAGAACTTTATTTGTAGTGTACTGTGCCAATTACTAGTCGATACTGACTGGCAGCTCCTCCCTCCCGCCCCCTTACACACACGCATCTGCTGATAAAGCGCAGGTATTAGTTTATTACCCTGCTCACTTACTATTTAAGGGTCCAAAGCATGAAATGTATTGGACCTTTATTGTTTTTCTTAGGATTATTAATATTATATTTGTTACAGAATCAAAGGATAATTCAAAAATCAAGCCCCTTCCGCATACGATAGCCAAACGAAATACTTTGGTGTCTCAAACAATAACTTCAAAAACTGTAGCGATTTTGTAATAACTCTACCTTATAGCTACATGGTATGCAGCCCTAAATACTGTGTACGTTTGACCACTGTTGACAGCAGATTAGCGCCATTCCCAAAGCTGTCATTTCAGTTATGTGACAAAAGGAATGTGTCAGTCATGTCTAAGCCATTGTGTTTTCAGGTGCCAGCCATGACAGGTGTAAGGTGATACATTAAATAAGTATTAAACACACACGTCTTAAAAAGAAACGTTTATTTATTGTTCAAGATCATGCACATCTTATTAACATGATACATTTTGAAGTGAAGTTTAAACTGAAGTGGATCACAAACAAGTGAAGAAAAAAAACAATGTTTATATTAATACCCAAGAGGACAGTGTTACTAACTGTTTATCTGTATGTTTAACTGTTTGTTATCTGTATGTTTATTTGGCTTTATCATATACAATTTTATATCCAAATGTAATCACATAACACAACAAAACTGGGAAACTGATATACAGTATACATGCTGCTGTGGTACTAATTAGTTATTATAACATTTATTTATATATACTACATAGTTTTGGGTAATTGCTTATTGAATTTGAACTTATTAGCATGTGTAGTGGGTGGCACAGAGGTGCAGTGGGTGGCACAGAGGTGCAGTGGGTGGCACTGCCATCTCACACCTCCATGGTTAGGGGTTTGAATTCTGTATGGTTAGGAGTTTGCATGTTATAAACCATTATTGTCAGCTTTCCTTGTATAGTCCAGTAAGTTGTAATCAGGCTAACTGGATTATTTCTTTGTGATCATGCACGTTAGCACCCCTTGATTGACTGGCAAATACTATCCATACCATGGATGTTACGTATGTTCAAGCCTGTCTGTGTTAACATGAAAACACTTACTACATACACAAAGATGATCACTGTATGAATGCTGGATTGCTGTTCCCGATGCTGACAGCCAACAAAGATCAAAACTTGCCTTTTGTGCATGTATGAGCACAGATCAATTGCAATGCTCCTTTTCCCAATCACATCTCGCTCTCCTCCGGGACATACGCACATACTGGAGAGAGCGAAGTGCAATATTCTTTGTAGCGTGGCGAGGCATGCTTAAATTTGTCAGGCAAAACATACCGCAAAACGTGCCGCAGCGAACAGAAAGCGAAAACTTCACTACAGCCAACATTATCTGGAGATTGCGTGTGATTTTTAACTTCCAGAGCTCTTGTGTTGTAGCATTCCTACATTTCCATTCTTTTGTTGTCTTTGGTGCATGTGTATGTTGCATATTAATAAACTGTGGTCATGGCCCAACTCCATTCCTTTATGAAAGTTATAATCAATAGTTGATCACAAAAGTGAATTGAATCCAGGAAAGAACAGATTCAGTAATAAGCAATTTCTCATCATCCATTGCAACTACTGGGAAAGAGTGACAGGTGTCAAACTCTTACAATGTAATGCAGATACTATATCATTACCCCATAGGTTTAACCCCAGTGCATTACTAACTTGCAGACTGATCAATTATATGAACTGATAGACATGTCATAACATTTTAGAAATACTACTCAAATTCAGCCATTTGTTATTTAGGGAACGTAATCCTTGTTGCATCACTCCTTGGAGGTTTACACACTACTGAATTATAGGAAGTTTCTAGACTACAAGGATACTAATCATGAGTGATATATAATTCTTAAGTAATTAGTTAAATATTAAAATAGGCTATATGTAACAATTTCCCACTTGCATTGCTTGACCTCTGTAAAAATGATCTTAGTAATGTATATTTTTATACCATGTGCTGTACAGATGAGTTTACTCATTATACTTCTGCCTAATCCCACTGAGACCTGCTGTGGTTTCCAGAACATTGAATCACCATCTATGTAATTATACAGAGCCATTAACTCTCTGTTTTTACACTTCCTTCCTCAATGATCAGCCATATTAATTGATTAATTCTGAATGTGCAATTTATTAAGGTATTTATATAATATCCTTAATCTACTGTTATTCATTTACTAATTACAGTTAAGAGTTTAAAATATAATTAAGCTTTTTAATTGTCCATTGCAGAGTTGAAATACTAAGTACCTTATTTATATGCATATTTTAATTGCCAATCATCTTTGGGGTGGGAGCTAATCAAGTGCAATCAAATCAGAGCAGTGATTTCACAAGAAAGACATGCTGGATCTACTAGGGAACATATGAGTGTACAGACACAGGTAATTAGAGAGTGAGAAAATCTACCTACCGTCACAGGATACCTGTGCTTCTTAAATGTGAGATTTTACATCGTGATAATGACGACAGAGAGATAACTTTGTCATCCCCTTAAACTTGGGGCTCATTTATAGCTAAACGGACCACCAAAAGTAAAGAGCACAATATATGACTAAAAAAAATACTTAATATAATGCGATATGTGTAGCATAAACTATTGATTAATCTCCCCTTTAAAATGTAACTTTCTTGGCACCCGGAGTTTGAAATAATAATTCCCAGTACCATTTCAGTATAGATTGCCTGTTTATTAATTTATTTATTTGATAAAATTGTTTATATTACGCCGTTTGCCCATCCCTTACCAAACTATGATGGAGACAGACCCTCGTGTAGTCTGAAAATGCAGGCTAATAATTCAATGAAGCTAGCAATATGCCGGTTACATGTTACAGTACATTGTTATAAACATAATGACAACACTCAATGAACTATTATTAACTGTAGCTAAATGACAATCGCAGATCGATTAAATGAGACGTTACATTTTCCGCTTATAAATGAATTACTCAGGAGTAATTCATTTATACGTATTTGTCAATTTAAATTTTGTTTTCATGTAAGACATAAATAGAATTACACCGTTATAAGCTTTTCCTCCAAATAAAATACTTACATTACATATTTGGATCCCCTGGAAAAAGGTCAGGCAGGTAATGTATTATCCTGTATGACATAATATATATATATATTTTCTTCAGAGAACAATAAATATTTTTTTCTTCACTTTTAAAAGATGAGATACTTTCTTGCATTTCACGAAAAACAGACACGCCACAAATCATGCTTAAGGACACCGTCCAGTACCTGCAGAAAAACAAATGCAACGGCGTAGTGCGTCAGTCCCTCAGTCCGAAATATACGTATATATGAACGTCAGACTCCGTGCGGACTCAGAACTATTTCTTCGAGATAGCATTTACACCATAGAGTGCATAATGTACGGCCACATTTAAATCATTCCTAATATCCAAGTTTCTAACAAAGCCGCTTTATGTTTTTTTCCTTTTTCTTTTAGCGTGCAATACACATATTACTTTTTGGAAAGATAACATTATCTGCATAATTTAAAAAATTAACAGAGTTTCTGTTTGTTGCAACAATTTGAGTAGCTTTTCACAAAGTTTATTTTAAGAAAATGAAACGCCCTCGTGGAGATGCCGGGGATTGAACCCGGGACCTCACACATGCGAAGCGTGCGCTCTACCACTGAGCTACATCCCCAGGACACGCTAGATCGCTTCAAATTTATTCTACTCAATATAGATATGGTTGTTGTTCTGTAAAGTTTGTTTTTTTTCATATTGTATAGTGGGCATTGTATATTGAAAAAATTCGCTTGACTAGAATGACACCTAAACTGAAGATACGGCAAGGCATCCAACAAACAGGAGGCCGTGTGTGTGTGCTCATGTAAACTGTTGTATTACAGTAAACATAACAATTTAGAAGTGCAGTCAAAAGAGTTTCTTAAGTGCATAAGAGAATATAAGCAGTGAATAAGAGAAGTCTGGTCATTTTGTGCACGTTATGTACGCTAATACTTGCTTTCAGGCAGCAACAAGTAAAATATGTTTCGCTTTACGACAGTGTAGCACTACATGGCAAATTATAGGTTGTATCTTGCTTGAATTCTTACTATATGTATTAATCAAACTTGATATAAATCCCTGTGCACGTACTGTGCACTAATAATGCGGAGCCTACAGCAAGCTTATTTTATTGATTGATCTAATATTGCAGGTCTGACATCGGGTACAGTGTATTTACTTGATGAATTCTCGGATTTTCCACCAAGATACTCGTCTTCTAACCACGTATCCTGATCAAGGTTCAAACGAAAGATGTTATTTATATCATTATACACTTTCATGCACTCCATGGAACACTTCCTTACCCAAAGAAATACTAAAAGAACGCCCCATTCACTTCATTGGCCGAGACTCGTTGTTCTTTAAATTGATTGGATTACCGTGTTGTCAATCAAGAGGAATGTTTCCTGGTTCTCTTCCGTAACGATATTAGCTAACTACCTGCTTATAAGAGCTGTGAATACGTAGGGGCATCCTTACGGCATACCTATTTGAGTGCTCGCCAAAACACCTGGAACAGCTGTAAGTTAACAGAAATACCGATTTTATTTCATTTATTATTTTTTTGCATTTAAAATAATGAAGATAACAGCTGATTAGCTGTGCTTACCAAGCTAGCTGGCGGTGTTTAATAATAACAGCTGATATCAGAGTTGAATTATTTGATTTTAAATATATATAATATAAGTTTTGGCATGCAGTTACTACACATTGAGCAATATTTGGAATGCATTTTCTGTGGGGTAAATAGTTATTTAATAACTAGGATATATCACCATGTGTTAACCAATAGCTTTTTATTTAAAAACCATTAAAACGTATTCTAACTCGTTAAGTTCAGTCTGGTATGTGCTGCATTAACAACGCACGTCACATGTCGATTTTATAAGAAATATTAATGCGAATGTTATTAGAATATATTGAAAGAAGCTGATTCATATTACAGCTATAGATTTACAGCTTTATTGAGATACACTATATCGTCGAGTCCCTTTGACTTTCTTTGATTTCCTAGCTGTGCACCTGCACATTGCCAATGAGTTTCCCAGTATCTCAAGCAATTAAAATTTTCATTCACCATGTGCCTCAGTATTTATCTTTGAACACACAGTGCAAACTTAAAGTTAATCATTAAACATCTGACAAATTAATATATCCAGGATGAATGAATGTCAATCACTGCACAGTGTAAGGTTACTTAATAGCCTACTGCCCTTCACCAGAGCTTAAATTGTTCTTCAAAATGTATGCAAAATGTCTTCAAATTCTTCACAATTCTGACCTGATTTTAAATTTTAGGAATTTTTGCTGTCACTATCATATTATTGCTCTGTATGTACTAAATTTTAGGGGTCTGATGTACAAACATCATTCTTTCCATCCATCCATCCATCTTCCAAGCGCTTATCCTGATTACAAGGATCACTCCTTCCATTTTTTCCCAAGTATTGCTACAAGCTCCAGGGTAAATTTTCCACCTGACAGTGCTGAATTAAATTGAAAGGAAAATGCAAACAAATACTGCAAGAGGTCATCAAGTTATTCAGTGTCCCGTAGCTGTGAAACTGAACAGAAAATAACAGCAAAAACATTATATTTTGCTCATTTTATGATTGATTGACAGGAACAGACGGAATTATTATGATCTGATAGAAGCTTAGACTGCATTACAGCTGAATACATTACTACTTGAATTTTAATTCTTGGAACCCTAAAAACACTCTTCCCCTCAAGGCTTTGCCTCTTGTCTTTTTCTCCATTTCTGGGTCTCTACTTTACAAGCTTAAATGTCTACTTAATATGCTTTAATGCCCACTCTTCTGAGGCAAGGAGCACTTCATCACTTTAATGCACCTTTATATAAGGCACAGTTAACTAGGTGCGCCTTATGGGACGGTTCGTCCATGGCTTAGCCGCGCTCGCACGGGATGATGGAGATACGTCGTCATGGGCTCACGGCAAGACAGTAAAAGGGGCACGTGGGCCTTCACGGAATGGAGGGGGGGGGGGCGGCTGTATATCAGTCAGCAGTGAATATTCATGAATCATAGTGTCATGACACGGTTCGTAATTGGCACCAACATTAGTAATAATTCCACGGGCATCTCAGGGTGCCTGCATATTCATGTAGAAAAGGGGATATTTCCAAGTTGTTTCATCTCCCTCTTTTTTCTTGGAAATGTATTCAAAAGCTGCAGGTGGCCCATTGCCACGTAGATGCAATCAATTGCCCATTAGAATGTTTTACAGATTGGAAATCAGGCAAACCAGTAAGTTTTATTCATAGAGAGGATTATTTGTGGTTTCTCTTTTTATGGGAAAGGGAAATAGGAATATTCTCTAGGGAATTATCCAGTTTAGATTCTGTTATGTATGACTGTTGTCAAAAATCCAGTGGAAAATTATTATAAATGATTCTCTGTTTGTATGGTTCATAGACCACAAATTATGTGTTTGTACTTTTCAACTTTTTCCAAGGTAGTACTTGCTATCAATTTGTAAAAGTTTAGCTGTTGCCTTTGAGGGCCAGAAGGTAGAGGCGTTATTTTTCAGTCAGTTGTTTGGTGTCTCTGTTCAGAACCGGCTCTGCAGTAGTGCCTTGCACAGCTTGAACTCTAATTGGGGTTAAATGCCTTGCTTAAGGGTTCCGCAGGTTCCCTCCTAAGGCTGTGAGCCATCGTCTCACTCACTGCTCTTTCTTGTGTTGCAGACGGTCATGGCCTTCCGGAAAGCCGCCAAGGGGGCCTCCCTCATTGGCGGAGGGGTCCTTGCCGCTCTCTACGGTTACTCACAGCTTTCGGAATACAGAAAAAAGCAGGTAGGTTTTCCCGAAAAACATTCCGTCACCCTTTGTGCCTGGCAGGTTGATGAATACACACATATACCGGAGACGCCGCAACACCGTGTTGACATTATGCACCCATTTGCCGCCTCAGGCTTCCCAAAACTCACAGAGGTGAGATATTATTTATGGGTACATTTTGCTGCAGAGTGGTAGAAAAGTATGGGTTTGTACCACGTTGGCCTTCTTTGAAGAAATTCAAGTTTCCAGCATTTTTTCCTACGGTCCATTCAAGGTACATATCATAGGACCTTGATTCAGTGAGGTAAGCTGTTGTGATTAAGAACACTCTCATTAACATAATTTCTGATTTGGTCTGATTGAGCTTTGATATAGTTTCTTATTTGATCTTGGTGAGTTTGGTTCACAGAGGTAGTATTTCTGTGTTAAAGGCTTCTATAATCAGGATATGTTTAACTGCAGAGTAAATGTAAAAAAAAAAATGGAATATGGTAAGAAATACACCTAACTGTCAGGTGGTTTACATATTTACCTCCATCTGCAATTTGCGGAACGGCAGCCTTTCACCATTTTATCTGGAGTTCTGGCAGTTCTTTGGGGCTCTGCTTTAAACCAGAAACGTCCAGCTGATAAATTCACACAGGCTTTTGGCTGTGGTCCCTGAGCCGTTTAAGGTGTTCGTCATCCTTGTGGGAGAGTCGCGTTACTTAAACTGAACGAGCATGCTAATAATTAATTTTTTAAACACTGCCACTTTAAGAAAGTGGCCGGACAAAGAATTACATTTAGATATTAGCTATTACTCACACCAATGGTGTATATTTAATGGCTTGAATTAGCCGATTACCTCTGGTAGTATTGACAGCTTATTTAGGAGGCTAGAAGCAATTTGAAATGTTAATGGGTTAAATGAAACTGTTGTGAACATAGTGACTGTATTAGTATTTTCCATCAGTTTTTTGCTGTAGTTTTAAATTTTAATGTAGTTTTTTTTTGTTAAAGTAATTATAACCCCATGGCCCTGTAAAAAAAATTATTGGAAATGGATGGATGGATGGATGGACGGACGGATGGACGGATATTTTCAATGAAACAATGAAAAATAAAAATTTTAAAAATAATAATTTTTAAAAATAAAATTAAATTCCAAGAGGTCAAATTAGGTTGGTACTCAGTGTGAAAGTTACACCATACCTCATCAGACTGGTCTGTACTCAGGTTTGTAACTGCTTGTGTAAGTCTGTACTCAGCCCCATGTCACAGCTACACTGTAACTACTTGGGTGGGTCTGTACTTTGATCCCGTGCCACAGCTACACTGTAACTGCTTGGGTGGGTCTGTACTTTGATCCCGTATCACAGCTACACTGTAACTGCTTGGATGGGTCAGAAGTTGAGTGAAACTTCACAATCAGAGCTAATTGGAAACAGGAGCACCAAACAACATCAGCTTAAAAGAGAAAAGTATCAAAATGTATGCGATTGTGTGGATGTGTGTGTGATAAAAACCTGTTATTTTTCGGGAAACTCAATTTTATAAAACATCATAAAAATAAAAAATGCCTTGTGTTTTGTTTGGTTACTTACTGTATGATTAAGGTTAGGGCTGGGTTGCGGTTAAGGTCCTCATGTTGGGAATAGTGTTTTCCCCATAGAAACGAATGGAGAGTCCCCACAAAGATATATTTACAAACCTGTGTGTGTGTGTGTACATGTGTGTGTGTATGTGGATGTGTATTCACTGCCCAATAGTATCACAGAAAATACTGTTACATGCATCTTGAACTGGGATCAAATTATTCTTCTGAAAAATTTCATCTTCTAACACCAGGTAACATTTTCACTGAGAGTCAATGGAGAGTAAAATGGTATGTGCTCTACAAATCTTTTTTTCCCCCTCGTCTCAGGCTCAAAGCACAGATTGCTGATTGCCTTCTTTTAATCAGTGTCTTCAGCTTTGGAAAGAACATTCCTACATTGTAGATTATGATAATGCTCTTGGTACATTGTTTAAGCTGTGACTACGGGCAGTGATCCATGTTTCAGGAAACAAAGTGCAGAAATTCACATTTCATTGCTTGCAGAGGCAAATGTTTTGTTTGGTGTCGTTTCCTACTATGGGGAACCTGAGACTGCGCATTTGAAATTAGCACATTCATTTTTAAGTTTTTAATGATTTTCAGGTTTCTTTGAGTGGCTCGTATGGTATCACAGCATGAGTTCCTCCCATAGTCCATGAACAGAAAGTTAATTGGACTAGTGTCTCTAAGTGTCCATAGCGTGTGAATGTGTACCCTGTGATGGCTGAATCTAGATCTAGAACCTTATAACTTGTGTCTGGGTAGGTTCCAGACTCATTGTGGCCTTGCATTTTGTAAGCATCAATAATGTCCCGAGCTGATATCAAAGAGCAGAATCTGGGCCGATCCAGGCAATCTTTAGTTGATTGTATCGGCTACCGCAGCCCATCCAAAGCCCGATCTATTTAATTTTCCATGTCTACTCGATTTACGTCAGTTGCGCAGATTTTAACGTTCCGTCGCACGCTGCAGTAACCCTGAGGCACATGGCTCGAAACTATAAACTATCAAGGTGTCAGCCATGTGGAAATTCTTTAAATTGGAAACTCTGAGTAGCCTAACAGCTACCTGCGATGTTTGCAATGCCACCCTTTCGAGAGGAGGTAGCAACAGAGCGTCATTTAATACATTAGGCACTTAAAGAAACATCATAAGGAAGAATACCGTGAAATCATGTGGCTTACTCAGATGAATAATGCAGTAATGTGTACTGCATGTGTAAGAATATTTAATCATTTCAACATTGGATCATGACTTGTAATTGTCATATATAAATATTAAATAGATCAGGGTACCAAAATAGTGGATTGGGACATCCCTAGTAAGCATCCATCCATCCATCCAACACCTGATCCTGGTCAACGGCACTGGGCCTTATTGCAGGATCCACTGGGCTGGGGTACACCCTAAATGGGATGCCAGTCCATTGTAGGGCACATACACACAGAGACTGTGATCCACTTACTGATTCTGTTTAGCTTAACTGCATGTCTTTGGACTGCAGCAGAAAAGCAGAGTTTGGAAAGCTGTGTGACACAGGGAGGACATGCAAACTGCACCCTCGTGGCCAGAGACAACTGTGCAGTCCACTAAGAGACGCCCATAACCGCTTCACCACTGCAGTACCAGCTGTCCTGGGTGGTACAGAGGCTCAGCGGTTAACACTCACACCTCTGAAGTTGTTCGATATCCAAACCCCAGCTCTGTGTGTGGAGTTTGCATGATCTAACCGTCTCTGTACGAGTGTCTTTCAACACTCCAAAAACACGCGCTTTAAGCCAATTGCCAAAAGAGTGTGCATGTACCCTGCGATGAACTGGCATTTCGTCCAGGGCTGTGTTTCTCAAACCAGCCCTAGGGGACCCTCAGACAGTCCGTGTTTTGCTCTCCCCCAGCTCCCAACGCACATGTACCAGGTCTTCGGTGTTCTTCATTGGCTGGGAACTGGGAGAGAGCAAATCATGTGGACTGTCTGGGGATCCCCGAGGACCGGCTTGGGAAACACAGGTCCAGGGAGTTCCTGCCCTGTTCTTCCTGAGACAGGCTCCATGCTGCACTGGATAAACGGTTCTGTTCCAGCATTGGCAGCAGACAGAGAAACAGTGTTAAACCCTTAAATCTGTCAGCTATTGGCCGAAACTGGAGGAAATCTGCAATCACATTAAAAGCATCAAATTCATTAATATAAGCCTTTATCCTAGAACTTGACAACCACAGATGCCATTTCTATGACTTAATACCCAGTGAAGGCAAAGTAGTATGAAGCATTTTACGAGGTAGCCTGCTGTCCCCCTTTTGTTACAGGGAGGTTGGTCAAATAAACAGAATAAAAAGGCTTGTGCAGAAGATCCCTTTAAATACTGCCACCAACCAACCAGACAGCTTCTGAATCATGTTAGCTCTGCTTTAGTTTTTTTTTACAATGTTTGTGTCTATGCCTGAGACCCACCCACCCCGGTTCCCTGTGCCCCTCCCCATGCCAGCCTAAATGGATAAGCGAACGGACAGCGGCCTTCGCAAAAACAATCCGCCCATAATCTCACGTGTGGATCCTTAAGGCCCCAGCGAGACGGAGGCGCGGCAAAGTTTCGTGGCGGAGCCGTCATTTGCATGAAATTCAGCGCCTCTCTCACGCGTCTTACTTGATTGCAGGACAAACCTGGCTCTTAATTGTCTGTCGTGTTTAGATATGCACGTTCGTAGAAATAGACCCTAATTATTAGATCTTGTTTGCTGTTACTGTCAAAATTGCAAATGTCTAGGTTCATTCACAGATTTGCAAGTCTAATGGAGCGCAGGCTTGGAGAAGATGGATGTAATCATTTATGGGGGGGGGGGTGCTAAATGCAGAATGAATAAAGCGTTTCATTATTTTTGAAATTCTTAAGGAGTTTTTTTCCCCGTCGTCTTGTCTAATTTGCGGATGATCTTTATATTTTATCTTGGTTGATTTTTCAGTCGTGGTTCTGGTGTTTTACTTATTTATTTTTCCCTCCAAGTTACTGTGCATCATCCATCTGGTCATTGCCCATATCCTGGGTAAGGCTGTTATTGGGGCATTGTGTGGCTCAGTGGGTTAGAATGCTGTGCTTGTGACTGGTAGGTCGCTGGGTCAAATCCTGCCGGCCAGTGCAGTGATGTCACTATTGGGTCCTTCAGTAAGGCTCTTAATCCCAATTGCTCCAGGGACTGTCTGACCCATCTTTCCGAGTTATTCTTTGATTCTGATAAAAGATCCTGCTAAATAAATGAAGTTTATCGCCAGACAGGTGGTATCATAAGAAATGGCTTTAACTAGTAAGCAGCCCCTGAGTCTGGTATCCTGTGTAGGTCAGAAGGGATACATTTCAACATCCAGTTACACCCTGCTACAAAAATCCAGAGATTTTATAACTTATGACCCACCAGAAGCCGCAAAAACACTGATTGGTAAGATTGATAATTCTTGTCGATAAGGCTTGTAACCTTGCCAGATTGTGTGATGCATTGCATGAATTTTACTACATTTTTTTTTTTAATACGTGTGTACTTTTTTGATTAACATGAAATAACAATACAATGGCGTGTGGCCTTTTGTTGCTGTTGACCACAGAAAACACAGGATTTCAAAATCCACTAATGAAAATCTGTGGACGTGCTGTTTGCGTTCTAGCACATGCTTGCTACACGAAGCCTGTCCTCCCCCGATGACATGTACGATGACAGAATGGGTAACTGGCATGTTTGCATGGGCACCACAGGCCCGCCTGGCACAGGTGGAGGCAGCAGAACAAGTGCAGATGGCCTTCCAGGACGAGCTGCCGTCACGACAGGCCCAGCTCAGCACGCTAAAGAACGCCGACGAGTTTGACGTGCTTGTCATCGGGGGAGGGGCCACGGGGTCGGGATGTGCCTTAGATGCTGTTACACGGAGTAAGTCATTGTCTGTTATTAAAACCACACTCAACAAAACATCTTTATGTATAATTCCATTCCTTCGTTCAAAGTATTCTGGGTAAGCGGCTTAATCTCATTGTTGAAGGGTCCCTAGCTTGTACTGAATATTCTCCAGCCTGTGACTTGTAGTGAGCATTGTAGGGTCCCTAGCTTGTAGTGAATATTCCGGGACCTTTGGCTTTTAACGAGTTTTGTAGCATCTCTTGCTTGTACTGAGTATTATAGGGTCCATAGTTTGTGAAGAGCACTGTAGGGTCCCTAGCTTATAGTGAGCATTGTAGGGTCCCTAGCTTATAGTGAGCATTGTAGGGTCCCTAGCTTGTAGTGAGCATTGTAGGGTCCCTAGCTTGTAGTGAGCATTGTAGGGTCCCTAGCTTGTAGTGAGCATTGTAGGGTCCATAGTTTGTAAAGAGTATTGTTGGGTCCCTAGCTTGTAGTGAGCATTGTAGGGTCCATAGTTTGTAAAGAGTATTGTTGGGTCCCTAGCTTGTAGTGACATTGTAGGGTCCATAGTTTGTAAAGAGTATTGTTGGGTCCCTAGCTTGTAGTGAGCATTGTAGGGTCCCTAACTTGTAGTGAGCATTGTAGGGTCCCTAGCTTGTAGTGAGCATTGTAGGGTCCCTAGCTTGTAGTGAGCATTGTAGGGTCCCTAGCTTATAGTGTGCACCTGCAGCTGGTAGGGAATATCTGTCAAACCCACTGGGACAGCTCATTTGCCCTGCTGGCTCCTGCACACTTCCCTCTCCCTTTACTCATGGATCATGCATAACTTAGCATCTGGTCTGGCTCCCCCTTGGTTAAAACACTTAAATTCCCCTTCTATTTATTAAAAATATATTCTTCACATAACTGCATTTTTCTTTCTGTATATTTTTTCTAATCAGATGGTTTCCAAATGCTTACTTTTTCCCTGTAAAAAAAAAAAGATGAAGAGCTCTGTTAACCCTGCAGAACATTGATTAGTCACATGGCACAATAGTGTGTATGACAAAAAACTATAGTACAAAAGTAATTTATTATTATATATATTTATATAGATTTCTTTCTTTATGTTGACCTGTACTGTACACAAATTTTAGGCAGTCAAACAACATGATGTTTAAATGAGCTTCATGTTGGTGAAAAACTATGATTCTATAAAGTGTGTTATCTTTACCACATCAAAACCTCTCCTAAAGTCACCCCAGTATTTGCAGCAACTTGACTCGACCACTAGCACACCTGATACAGCCAATCAATACCTCAATGACTTTTTAAACTAATTAAATCGAATCAAGTGAGCTGGTGGTGAAATTTAATGAACACAAAGAGGTTCCCCTGAGGAGAGGTTTGGGAACCGAAGCTGTGTTCATCTAGCCATCCAACAAGATATCAGTCACTTTTTGGAGAACAGAAGAAATTCTTATTGTAATGTTGCTGTTAAGTTGCATACAATCTAATGTTAAATTGTGTTTTTGTACACACTTTCAACCCAGATAAATAGCTTCAAACATTTCCTCTGACTGCCTAAGACTTTTGCACTGTACTTTACATGCAGATATTCTCGCATTCTTCAGTTTGACGCACCTGCAGGTGTTCTTGTATGTTTTACTGTTTTCCAGTTTAATGGACACACAGGAGTCTGTTAATTAACTTCTAAATAAGTGTTTCCGTACTGGCGTACTGTAAATAAATGAGTGTGCTTCTGCAGAGTGGCTCAGAAAGCAGCTTTATGGTTGACAGAGAGCCTGCAAAGCTTCTCACACAAGTCGGATAAACGGCGGAAACGTGCCCGTCAGCAGATCAGGTTGCGGCCCGGTTTTCCAAGGCACCCCTCGCGCGTAGATCCCACTTATCCCGCCGGCGCGGTGGCCCGCTAGCTCACGAGCCCTTCGGCGGGATTTTCCAGCGGCATGCCTTTTGTTCCGTGTCCCTGTCGCGGATTCTGACGGCCCATCCCTCGCCTCTACGTTGCGTAACCTCATCAGCTTCCAAGCCGCGTATACTCCCTCCCACCCCTGGGGGGCCTCGCTGGCAGGAAGAGGCAGAAGGGAGCTCTGGAGAGCCGGAGAGGGAGGCATTGGACTTGGAGGATTTATCCGGCGGAAGAGTGAGCCGGAGCAGAGCCCGGTCTCCAACTCACAGAGTTGTTCCCCGCAAAGACAGTTTCCTTCCCGCTGCCTCCATTACATCCTAAATCAATTATGCATGCTGCTGGTTAGAGAGTTCTTTAATCTGTTTTTCCTTTTATCCAGTTCAACTGTCTAATGTTGAAACAGCGGGGACTTGGACACCCCCTCGCATCCCCCCCCCCCAACTTCCTAATCCTCCTTTATTTTTTCTTTATCCTTTTCAAAATTGGGATTTGTGGTCTCTATCCATCAGGGGCAACACAGAAGCTTCTAATGGCAGAAGGATAAGTGGAAAGCAGCGAAACAGTGTTTCAGTCTTTCTGGGGCACATGAGAGTTTTATTTATTTTATTTACTTAGTTTTGCAGTGAGGAAAAAAAATTATAAGTTCCCGTCGAAACTGATTTGCAAGCTTTGTGTTTGCAAAAAAAAATCATATTCACATGTCCTAGTTGGACTAACAATAAGCTTTGAAATAAATGTGAATCTTTTATTATTTGTAATAGTCTGCATGCTTCATCATTTTTCAGTTAGCTATATGTATTTTAAATAGGATTTAATAGTTGTTAACTATTAAAATTATTTTATGCCATTTTTTGTGATTTTTGTGGTGGAATGTTTGGCATGTTGTGTTTTTCATTATGCCGTTCTTGCAGTTTCGTTATGCGATTGAAACCTACTGGGACAGAAATATCAGCCTGTTGCTGCCTTGATTCCCTCCCCCCGAACAGATCTTAAAACGGCCCTTGTGGAGCGGAATGATTTCTCTTCTGGGACCAGCAGCCGAAGCACAAAGCTCATTCACGGCGGCGTACGATATCTGCAGAAGGCCATCCTGAAATTAGATTATGAACAGGTAAACGCTTCATTTTCTTTCTTTGGTATGGCTGACATACGTCAGTGAAATTCCTTGTCCGTTCGGTCCGAGTGCTTTATTTTCTCTCTGCGTTCACATTTCATTCGTTGACATGAACCGTCGAGAAGGGTGTTTGAGACTTTTAAAAGAGATTCGGAAGTGTTTCCGAACTTCGGCCAACAATGGGTGCGAGTCGGCATCGTTATCGAGTTTCAAATTAAACCTGGGAATTATATGCAGGTAATAGGGGAATAAAGGATTAGGGTCCTTTCCCTTTGCCCGCATATAGCTATGGAGGAGTCACGTAGGTTCAAGCTGAAATGTCATCATTTTATGTTACATTTCAGGGTTCCCCCTGAATCTCATTATTTTAGGACCGTGTTTTCCTTTTCTTTTTCATTTTCCGATGTGTATGAACACACTCGGGTCTAAAAGGTGAGATGTAGAGGGACCAATTAGTGTGATTGCGGGGAGCATAACTGGCCAGCCGGCCCAGCTTGGCGCTGAAATTGGCAGAGACCTGAGAGGATGTGAGACATGCGACAGACAGGCCCAGCACCGTGGTAATTGCTCTCAGCGCTAGTAAATAAACAAACACGGTAATCGGAGAATTCACTCCCAGGCTAAGTCCTGTATTTAATGGTTTAATGAAAAATAAGGTTCAGCTCTGATCAGCTGAATGCTCATTATCGTTATCAGATTTTAACTCCTAGCTCGTCAGATTTCAGCATTGCGATTGCGTTCTTATAGATGACATATTATTATTTTCTGTGGCGGGACTGTTTTTGCTTTCCATGAAGGTTTTTGTGCTGTAGCGGGACCGTCCTTGTCAAAAATGAAGGATCATCGACATATTCGTCGTCATCGTCGAGATCTTTTTCGATCAGCTGTTCTCCTTGCGTGTCTCTCGTAGTACACGATGGTGAAGGAGGCCCTCCACGAGCGCTCCAACCTTCTGGAAATTGCTCCGCACCTGTCTGCCCCGCTCCCCATCATGCTCCCTGTGTATAAGTAAGTGCACCCCTGTCTGAACCCGGCCACGCTGGCCGCCTACCACCTCGACGTCTGTCCTCACGTCTCCCGAAAGATGTTGCCGCATCAGACACCTGCCGCGACTCAAAAGACTTACCCCGTCCCCCCGTCAGGCCCTCTGAATACCGTGTGAAGCCATTGCGGGAAGGGTTCCAACCTGCTTTCCCCATCTCTGGCAAAACCGCGGGGCTTGATTTCAGACACTCCACCGTATATCATGAGTTTTAATTGCACCTGACATTTACGATCCTCCCTGGTATTTAAAAGCGTGTACAGGTGTGTCTCATTAATGAAGGCTGGGGTAAGGCTTGCGTGGCTTACTGCGGTCCCCCCTCCCCCATCAGGAAACGCACACACACACATAAGCCCACCAGGTGTGCGCGACACCCAACAGTTAATTTCCCAAGTAACATTCGCAGTATTGTCCCATGTGCTTTATTAATTATTATCTTTGGCCACGTTTTGGGAGGCATAAGAGTAAAGATGAACTGTACCAAAAGGTTACCACGTCAGTCGGCAATCTGGTGTCCTGTCACCTGGATGTTTTGATTCAATTCAACAGAATCCATGCACAAAAAAATGTTCAATAGCACTTCTTTAGAACGAGGTGAACTTACTCGAGACTGTCTGAGACGTTCAGATTTGATTCAGCCCCATTGCCCAGTTTTGTTGAGGATTTCAGTAGCAGGTACCAGCTGGTCTCCTGGAGGGGGGGGCGGGCCTGTATGACTCATCTGTTCATTTTAAGGTGGTGGCAGCTTCCTTATTATTGGCTGGGGATTAAGTTGTACGACCTGGTGGCTGGAACTCAGTGCCTGAAGGGCAGCTACGTTCTCAGCAAGACCAAGGCTCTGGAGCACTTCCCCATGCTGAAGAGGGACAAGCTGGTGGGAGCCATCGTCTATTATGACGGTAGGTTTGCACGGAGACGAGTCAATGTTGATATGAATATGCCCCCCGATTAGTACAGCATGAGCAGGATTCAGCGAATTGGCAAGTAGCTGAAGGTGGTGACGGGATGTACGTGGCTGGGTGGAGGAATGGGTGGATATATGCAGCTGTGTTTTTGAGTACCGTCACTTTAAGGCACATCACAAAAATGGTGTTAATCACATAAATTAACATAAATACAAATAAGTTTTTATAAACTCATACATTATATATAGGTTCACGCGAAATGCATTCCTGTCAGGTCAGATCGACTTTTTCAGTTCTTCTTCTAAGCATAGCAACTAGGCAAAGTTCCTCCACAACGCAGGTAATTCAGGGGCCCTAGGCAACATATCCTAGCTATCCTGCCTATAGCTAGAGCTGGCCCTAATTCCTGTGTACACATATCAGTGTTTCAATGACCCAATAGTGCTCGGTTGTGTGAGATGGATGTCAGGCTGAATTAAGCCGTCAGGGATGGGCGGAGCCATGCGGGTCACGTGACGCCTGGACAACATCTCAGTGGAGAAAAATCTCCTCGAGCTCAAAATAGTCCAAAATCCTAAAATATCCTATCAGTCAATAACAGAAGGTCAGTGTTTATTATAATATTAAAATCACACTGGAAAATACAACTTCAGAAGAATAAATCTACATAAACAGAGCATAATTCACCGTACTGTGACCAGCCACTGCCCTGGGTATTAGTTGTACTGTACTTATGCGATGAAACTCATTTGCTCCGAAAAGGTGTGTTTGTCAGTTAGTTTTATTATTTCTACATTCAGTTCTCTAAAATAATTCTGAATTCAAATGTATCGTACAGAAATTCTGATAAATCAAGAAAATGGCGTATGTTCACTAAAATAACTCCACAACTTCTGTTTTAAGAAAAAAGTTTTAATAAGATTTTTCTGTAATCAGGGTGATTCAGAGTAATTGGCGGAGCGACTTACCATGTTCTTCCTAGGATTTTATGTGTTTGGAAATGTCATGTTCTGCGTGTCAAGGTGATTTCCATATTTATTTGTGCATGCATTTGTAGGAAAATACAGCAGGATAAAGGATCTCTCGTTTAAATAAGAATATATATTATACTACTTTATCACTTATTTTCCTGGAACATCTTTTTCTTTTTTTCTTAACTATCAACACGATACTGAAGTCCACTGAAGACTAAAATCTAAAATCTTGTTAATTCCACTTTCGTCCTCTTAAAAACATACTTCCGCAACGCCTTCATCGAAATACTCTGTAATTATTAGCCGCGCTGTACAGCAGTGCGCTTAGGAAACGTGTAAAAAGGAGGACGGTTGTGTCTTTGGGGCTCGGAGCAGCGTCTGTCTCCCGCGGGCCGTGCGCGCGTGCGTGTGCCCGAGCTGGTGTCGGAAAACAAACCATATGCTCCTTGTTACCTCGCGTGCTTGCAGCGTTGTCCCGGCTATTTAGAGCCGTTGTGTAGAGGGCGACCACTAACTCCGTCTCTTAAGGCGATCTGTCAGGATTCATTCGGCGATCGCCGATACGTGAATTCCAGCGCACAGCCAAAAGGCAGCGTTTATTTGATCTATCTATCAATCTATCTATCTATCTATCTATCTATCTATCTATCTATCTATCTGTAGGAAATATGACTGCTATATGAGCAGTGATCCGTCAATTTTACTAATTTAATTAATTGTAAAGAGAATCGTAACATTGATGTTGTGTGCATGGGTGTCATCCGACTTGTAATTTTATTCATTATTTTATTCATAAGATAAAGAGCCAGCTTAATTACAAACAAATAAAAAACAGTAGCTGATGTACGAATCCAGTCTGTAGTTATTTATTTTTCCCCTCAAGCCGTCGTTACATTTATCTCCAATTATTCAATCAGGAGCCGTCCTGACAGTGACATTTTACAGCCTGACCTTCTGTATCAGTTCGGTCGCACGCCGCATGACTTCATTTCTCCCAGGATTTTTCCATCCGCGATTTCGGTTTCCACGCGTGTCCGGGGTCTGTTCCTCGAGCCGTGTCGTGTCAATCGTAGAGTTTGCTCCAAAACGAGAACTTTCTTCTCGGTTCATACTTTCGCTGGCGATTCGTTTGTCTTTACGCTTCCGTGTTTTTTTGTTAATCCCGTAGTGCTGAGAGGGAACGGGGCCCCTTTTGTGTGTGCGTGTGTGTTTTTTTGTTTTCCACCAGATGAGCAATTCCCAGAGGCATCCGGGATAATGACCGCATCTCCCGCTGTACCTGCGACGTTTTAATTGGACAAGTCAGGCCAGCTGAGTGTTCCTGGCCCATGACTGGGAGACATGAAATTCATTGTCATTATTGTCCCTGTCATTTTTGCAGTGTTTTGTCCATGCTGCGGTCTTCCTTTCACTCCAGTGAGTATTCTACCTCCGGGTGGCGCAGATTATGGTGGAGCCGCGGGTAGGGGCACCGCTGAACTGCATGCTCCTCCTGGGAATCCTGATATTAAATTGGCTTCTCTGCTGGAGTTGGACCCTGTGTATGGGTGCTCTGTCTATTAATACTACTACTACTAATATTAATATTAAAATTAATAATATCAACAATACACTGTGTGGCCATTTTGAACTGACCAATAATAATAATAATAATAATAATAATAGGAACTGTAATGATAATAATCATAATAATAGATAGTAATTGTTGCTGTATTACTGTTAAATGCTTAAGGTAATGTTTTACTTGTATTAGATAATTGAAAATATTAGGTTTACAAGATTACAAGTAATACAGATTACTATTACAAGTGGGTGCTTAACAGAGAATTTTTTATTTTTTTATAACAGTAGTTGACGTTATGGAGGGGACATCGGACATACCGCTTTCGATAAACATGAAGTCGTAAACAGCTCTTTACCGGGAAATGTAGTTTTGACCGACTGGAGTACATTCCACGCGGAGCCCCTTAAAGGGACCAGAGACACACATTCACAGATGTGGAGTATTGGGAGCCGTCTGCGTCTAGTGTGTGACGCTGCAGGGATCTCGCACCGGTGTATAATTCATTTAAAATGTGGCCTTTGTGTTTGGGTTCTGCATCATAGGATCACTCGAAGCAAAGTGTAGCATTAGCCAGAACCCTGCCGGTTCCCCAGCTCCGGGCTGCTCTCCCTTTGAAAAGCGGGGATGTTTCCGTTCTGACCCATCGGCCGGGACCAGAACCTCCTCAGCAGTAATAAATAGAAAGAGTACTTCTCAAGACACCAACATTAAAAGCAATTAATCATCTCTCTTCTCTCTTTTCTTTAGCTAAGGATTTCCCAGCAATAAATCTTTAATGATGTACATAACAATGACTCTAATGAAACCCGGCTTTGTCCATTTGTCACCTTTTTAAACCCTTTAATTTAAATTACAAATCATCCGACCTTGTGACTCCGAATATAGATTTCCTGTATTTTAAAACTGTGTGAGGATTAATCCATGAATCTGGATACAAGAATCTCCTTCTTTTCATTAAAACAGTTCTCTGCAAAGTTGTAAAACAGATACACCGCTTCATTTTTTCTGCTCTAGCTGTAAGTGGTATATATATGACATTACATGTAATGTGTTACCGTTAGGTACTGCCGTGCATTTCCAAAGCCTTCGAAACCAGCAATAATATGAAAAGATCTCCTGACCCATCTTTGACCCCTGGTGTCCCTTGGCAGGGGACGAAATTGAGATGTTAGTAATTATATTTGCTCAGTGTAATATTTGAGGATCCAGTCACGGGTCGGCCTGGTCATGCTGGTCTTACACACGTGTTCTTGTCACAGGGACGGACCTCGTGGATCACGGATGTAAGTGACACCCGTGCGGTGTTTTGCAGTTTGTAGTTTTAACACTTTTAATGCTCCTATTTGGAGGAGCTTGCCGGTGTGGATCGGGGTGCGTAGACTTGGAGGGGTGGGGGGGCATGCAAAAGGCTGGCGTGACTCTCAGCCTTCCCCCAGTGATGCGAAGTGACAGGGACAGATGTGACATATCGGTTCCGACGTACTTCCGAGCCACCAGTCACTGGCTGGGGGGGTGACTCACGTCGTGCTCTCCTCGGCTCCTGCCCCCCACCCCCCAGGACAGCACAATGACGCTCGGATGAACCTCGCCATCGCCCTCACCGCTGCCAGGTATGGCGCTGCCATTGCGAATTACACCGAGGTCGTGCGGCTCCTGAAGACGGCCGACGTCTGCACTGGGAAGCAGAGGGTGTGCGGAGCACGGTGCCGGGACGTTATCACAGGTAACGGGAAGCCGACCCCCCCGCCCCCCCCAACTAAACAATGTTTCATACTCTTTTTTCCACAACAAAATCCCTGTTAATCATGCACTCGAGCACACGATTTTCAATGTTACACTTAAATATTTAATAAGCTTTTTTTATGGTGGTCAAGGTCCTTAGGGTCTGGATGCAGTGTAATGGGGGTGGGTATTTTTTATTTCTTTTTTGGCCCCCACATAACTTTTTAAATGTCATCAGTGAGATCAGCCCCCAGTTCTCCACCTGTTGTGGATCGGCGCTGCTTCCCCGCACATGACTGCCCCCTGATGTTATTCAGCGTTTTTCAAACATTTTGTGGTTGGAAAGTCGATGTAGAAATCAGACCCCACCCCAGCCCCCGCATAGTCTGTGCTGAGACACCCCCACAGTCCCTCCATAGTCTGTGCTGAGACCCCCCTACAGTCCCCCATAGTCTGTGCTGAGAC